AGCTGACCGACTTACAATTGTGAGTAGAGTGATACCAATATTCAGATCAGAACCCCCAGATTTCGACCGACAAGCCAAGTCGATCTAGTGTATACTTCTTTTCTTTTCTTTTTTGTCTTTAAAATCATGTCTTTTTGTTTGGGCAGTTTTTTCCTCCTCATCTGAATTGGAAAGTTTCTTTTTTTCTCAACAAAACATTTCAATAAGCCTTTGTGTGACTGATAAACCTTATATTATGTACACAGTGGCCCGTTAGGGCAATTCAGGGCTCACACAAACAGGGAAGGATGCTGGGTTGTCATTGAACCTGTTTGCTTCATATTAAAGAAAGTCTCACTGCCCTTAGTTTCAGGAGAATACAGATGATTCTGTGAGGTTTTTATGCTAGCTCTGTGAAACTCAGAGTTTCTTGGAATGGTTTTGTTTAACATTTCTTTCCTTAAATTCATCTAATTATTAAATTGAAAAATAAAGACTTTCAGCTCTGAAAATTTTAGTTTTCTTAGGTCCCTGACTGAATCGGATTTGCAGTGGAATAGAGCAGAAAAGCCCTGGATTTTAGGAAACTGGAAGACCTGTTCTGGCCCTGTGACTTTAGGCCAAACACGTCCTTAATTTCTCTGAGCCTTGGTTCCCTCACCTGTAAAATGGGAAGCCTGTGATGCCTTCCAGGTTCCTGGGAAGTCTCCTGTTGTGAGGATATTATGGGATAGTGTTGTGAGAAGGGTCTTGGCAAAGTATAAAGCAGTTTCAGATTTAAGGCATGGTATTCATGCTGCTCAGATCGTGATGTGGCCTGTACCACTAAAATCCATTATTATGCCAGGCCAGTCCCATGAAACCAGGAGCTGGCCTTGGATTTCATGTCTTTAGCTGTGTCCTGGGTATCGGTACTCACCACCTGCACCTGGGATACCCCAGTCTTCATCATTGAATGAGAACAGCCAGAGAAGAGACATGTGTAGTCTGCAAGCCATATGTCGTGAGCTTCTTACTGAACAAAAGTCACCTGAAGTGGAGAGTCTGTGTGATGTTGGTATGAATTGTTTGGTTCTTGCAAACTCAGAGGAATGGTGTAAAAAGACCCTCGAAACACTCCTGAAGTGTTCTTGGGAACTGAACCGCCTTTGACTTTGAGTTACATACAAGTAAATGGAAACCCTGCTGCACATTTTACTTGAGACTTGTTATGAGGTGGCTCAGGGTGAGGCCTGGTGGGGCGTGCACAGGCTTCCCTGTGTGCCCTGCAGACTCAAGGAGACCTATGCGCCCCCTTCCGCCCTGATGCTCTCCAATCTTGGGATAGTTCTTTATTCACTAGTATCTACTTTCCTCTTAGAAAACTGTGGTATGGCTTACAAATATTAACTCAGATTTAAACACTAAAGAATAATCAGCGGACAAGAAATCTCATAGGACTGCAGCGTGCTTCTGTTTTCAGTTTCCAGTGTATTGCACTGAGTCTCCACTTTAGTGGAATAGGTGTTTTTTTAGGTCAGTTTCTCAGCATTTTGAGACAAGTATACTGTTTCCATCTTAGATACTGTAATTATTAGCGCAAAGGCAATTTCAGTATTTTTCCATAAAATACAATTGGTTAATACCTGTGGAGGTACTGAGTACCATCTGGATATTGCTCCCAAAATGAGAAATAATTGATACCTAATATAAAATATTATACAAAAACAGGTGATGAGGTAGAATATTTAAGAATAACAGGGATGCCTGCATGGGCTAAGCCATTTTGGGTTCTCCACTTGTGTGATGATTTAGTTATTATTATTGACTTGAGTAATGAACAGAACTGCTACACGCATACGCAACCTAGAGGGACTTTTTCATTATTATTTTATGTTAAATTTAATATTTTCATTAGTACCCATGTTTGAACATGGCTGTTCTTCATCATTTAAGTGCAGTATGTACACCACAAAACAAGACAATGCTGGCTGACTGTTCACTCACATACAGAGGAGAGCTGGTTTTTTTCTAAACCAAAGTTTCACACTTCATAAATATGAACAAAACTTTCCAAGGACAGTGATACCTGACATCAAACCCACATGCAGGTGTCTCAGGGGGCAGAGACGGTTTCCACCAGCTGGGCTGTGAGCTTCGCTGTAGAAGATCAACACTGAATCCGTAGCTAGGGGCAATGACAGGCACCAGTAGCTGGGTCCCTGTACAGCTGCCGCTGACCACATGTGGCCTGGGCTTTGGAAGATGGCATTGAGGTGGATCAGAAAAGGTGATTACCTTTAGAAAGAAAAAGGGGAGCCTGGAAATGCTGCTTCCCTGACAGGAAGAGGGAGAATTGTCCACCCAGCACTGCTTTCCCAGACCGTGCTGGCAGAGCATGTGGGGTCACAGCAGCAGTCTCAAGGAAACCTTTCTGAGGTTTTCTGCTGTGTCCCTGGACATCTCTGCACGAGGCAGCAAGCAGCCCAGTCTTTCATGTGAGAAGATGCCTGGGGCCTCTGGTCATCTCATCCTTCTGTTCCCATCACAGCAGAAATGCTGACTGTCCCTTTAGCGTAGCCTGCGTTTTCCACATGGTTGTCCTGGCCAGTTTCTACTGTCAGTAAAGTTCTTTTCATCGAGTCATAAATCTAACGGAGGGAATAAATGCACAAAACAAAGCTACATAATTCAAGTTCATGAACTTCTGTTGGATGAGAGTGAAGGGGGAGAAAGTGGATACAAATCTGGGAAACTTTAATTCACAAAACCTTTGTTGGCTGGTGAGGCAGCATTGTCTCTTCTTTCAGAGTCCACCCTCTCTGGTTAACTGAAGAGTCTCTTTCTGTGTAGTAAAATTGACCTCTCCTCCAAAGGAGAGATATTTCTGGACCTGCTGCTTGGCTGTTCTTGGATGTGAAGAGTGGGGACAGTCTGGGAGCTCTGATGCGTTTCTTAGTGACTCACTTGGAGATTACTCCACTGTTTGGAGGGCTGGATGTTATGTAACCAACATTCTATCCCTTCCCCCCATTTTTTTCACCCGAAACAATCTGGGATTTTCCGTCATTTTGTCAAGTCTTCCTGGAGGCATGCTGATTTTTTCCATTGGATTTTTTGGGGCACGTCCCAGGGCAACCCAAGCTTACCACTCCCTGGGATTTCAGATTCCTCGTCCCTGGCAGGGCCTGGGAGGGCAGCAAAGTGAGCACGGCTGGGCTGGACGCTGAGAGCAAACAGGAGAGAAGGTGTCGCCGGCTTTCTTTCATGCAGTGAATTCATTCATTCCATTCTTTCTGACATTGAGGAATAATACACTGTAGAAATTTGTTCCTATTTTGGGGTGACCTGTTGTCATCTTTCCCCTTCTATGTTTCCTCTTTATTCAGCCAATAACATGTATGTGTGTTTAGGGATTTCTTTAGAAATGCCTCGTTGAGAAACTTCTGTAGCAACCTTGCCTGGAACTCGAAGGCATTTTCAGCATGCAGTACGCTCAGGATTTAGGCTTCTAGAAATTGCTGCAGTGAGGTGCATCACTGCTGAAGGGTGCCCGCAGGGAGGCCAGAAGGGATTACTGTTTTGTGGGCTGTTGAGCCTGAAGTGAACCCAGCAAATGTTTGGCTTTAGCCACGTTTCTGTGTCATGCTTCAAATAGGGTCCCGCAGTGTGGGAGGTGCTGGGATTGGCCTTGGTAAAGAAGCACAAGGGTGTGGCAGAGGATGACACCTTCGTGAACCTGCAGGTTCTGATATTGCACGTGCCTTCACCTGTGTGGAAAGCAAGTTTTGTGGATTTTACCTCCTGTACGCACCTCCAGGTGTCTGTGTGTCTTACCTCTGTCACCAGCTTCCTAGTCAACTCATCGTTACCTCTGGGCACAAATAATGCAATAACTGATGCAATAACTAATGATACAGTGTGTGCATCATTTTTTACAAAACAGCCAAGGAGGTCCTAATGTGCGGGTCGGGTAATTCTCCTGCATAGAACTCTCAGCAATTTTCTGTTTTACTTAGGATGAAATGATAGATTCCTTAATGTGCCTCCTGCTTCCCTCTTGGACTTCATCTCTGGCAGCTGTCCTTCCCTTGGTCACTCTGCTTCAGCTGGAATCTTTTTGATACTGACATACATCAAGTCTGTTCCGTGTTATGACCTTTGTTTGTGCTTTTCCTTTGTCTAGGACTGGGTCCTCTAACTTTATTGCTCATAAGAATCTCCTGAATTATGTGCTAAAAAATATTTTGGGGTTCCACTACTAGAAGTTCTGACTAAGGAGGCTTGGGAGTGGGGCTGAGAATTTGCACTTGATAATTTCCGAGGGGTGCTGGTAAGCTGCTCAGGCACCACGCTTGGGAACCACTGGTGTGGTGCACTCTTTGCCATTCTGAGCTCACGTGTGTCCTTCAGGTTGCAGGTCAGACGTCTCTGTTCTCCTAAGGCAGACCTCTCTGGCTCCTCCAGACTCACGGGGATTTCTAGGCACACATTAACATGCATCTTGTGCTTTTCTTGTAAAGCTCTTATTGGCATTATATTTGAATAATTGTGACGTAATTTTTTAAAATGACTGAATCTATTACAAGAATCAGATGTCTAAAGGCCGTTTCTGTCTTGCTTCCTGTTCTCTTTTCTCATATTCCTTGTAAAGGAAAAGTTCTAAATAATTACTGACTGAATGAACGAGTATTACATTTTACTTGTTATGGGTACCTGGAAGTAAGTACTGTAATGCCAAAGGTTTGAGTGTGAAAGTTAAGCAGGGGCTCTGTAATGCAGTAGTAGAGGTCTACAGAAAGAATAAGCATTTTTGTTGTAGGAATGCAGGATGTTTTAGGCAAGTATTAGGCTTTTTTTTTTTGAGGGGGGCAGCGGGGCCCAGCACACCCTGGAAAGCCCCTTTAAGTGTACCTGCTTTAATGAGAATGATAACACTTCTTTCTCCATTTGACTTCTTCGGTCTATCCGTGCTCTGTTATGTTTTGAGTGCTTAATGACATATTTAATTTTTGTTATTCTTATCCTTTTTTTCCTTACAGATATGGAATGTGCAGATGTCCCCCTGTTAACTCCAAGCAGCAAAGAAATGATGTCCCAAGCATTGAAAGCCACTTTCAGTGGTTTCACAAAAGAACAGCAAAGACTGGGAATCCCTAAAGGTATGCTTTTGTAGTGAAAAAAAGGAACCGGGGCCAGATCCTTAGGAAGGGTTTGTTCACTTGCCTTTAGTGTTTGAGGTGGACTTTAGTCTGTCCATTGTTAGGTCAGTGACTGTAGGTTGTTACACTCCTCTATTCAAGCAGTCACAGACCCACAGGCTTGAAATCCACCCTCTCCAGGCTTGTCACTGTAACTGTCACGTTGGTCTTAGGACAGTGGTTCCCGAACCTGTTTACATATTCCAGGCCCCACTGGATCTTTGAAAACTTCTAAGGTCAGGTCCTAGTCTGGTGGCATCAGTAGGGTATTTTTTAAGTTCCTTAAGTGATTCCAAAATGCAAACTTGTTTGAGAAATTTTGCTTCAGGTTCACCCTGGGCCACCATGGTATGAACTTAGTGAGCAGTGTTTCTTGGAATTTACTGAGTGATCTTTTTCTTCCATGTACTTTGGCAAAATGCGCTTGCTGTTTGTGGAAATCCTTATCTGGAAGAGGTTATTCAGGGATGGAAAGGGTCTCAAATGCTCACAAAAGAGAAGTGAATGGAGCCCATGTCAGCCTTCACTAAGAAACAGTTCGTGAACAATTGAGAGCAGAAGGAGCACTTTTCTGCTGAGAGGCAAACTGTCTTTAGATTGCCAGCCAGTTCCACTGCTAGGCGGGAGGCTTCATCCTTACCATACTGGTGCTTTTGACATTCCGCGAAGGGGACTATACACTTCTTCCCATCGTTACAGTTTTACCACCAAACTTAGTAGGAAACAATACCAAGTGTCCTGTGAGTATCACAAGGCCGAATAAGGTGAATTCTCCCCACAGGGCTTCCCCAACGCTCAGGAATACTCTGCTCGATTCAAGTGAGCACCCTTGGGACAGCTGTGACATAGGAAGGGTGTCCTGCTGTCATCTGAGCTCCTCAAGTGTCACCAGCAGGTGTAATTGCATTAAACCATGGGCCTTATGTGAATTATAAGTTGTCTCTACCACAATAGGGCCTATGCTATCTTCAGACTTTGCAGGATTCCCAGGGTAGTACAAGCACTGAGTGATGTAATCACCCAGTACCATTTGAATGACTTACTCTTAATAATTGCTGTGATTACTACTAATCATAATCAACTGAAATAAAAATAATTGGAAATAATGATCCAAAGTATGTTATAAGAGTTAAGAGCAGGGAAAGACTTTGCTTTGTTATTACTGCTGTTACAGAAGGCATTTACTCTCTTGCCAGGGCTTTTTAAATGTTCTAATGGAAATATGTCAGTGGGAGAGGAACTTCGTGGAAATCTTTGCCTGGGTGAACGCAGGGCAGGGAATGTGCCCGCCCCTGCTCCTGTGTTATTTTCTGGTTGACCAAGGTCCTTTCTTGCTGTAACGTAGAGAAGGCAGGGTACTGAATGTTTGAGGGGTCTGTGAGAGATGCCTGATGAGCTCTGTCTGCAGGTAGGTGTTTCCTGATTCTGTGGCTGGGGTAGCATCCTCAGCAGCTTTCAGATCCTTCAGTGTCTGCTCCAGACCCTGAGCTTCTGTGTCTTCACTCTCCTCAGATCCTCGGCAGTGGACGGAAACCCATGTTCGGGATTGGGTGATGTGGGCGGTGAATGAGTTCAGCCTGAAGGGCGTGGACTTCCAGAAGTTCTGTATGAACGGAGCGGCTCTCTGTGGCCTGGGTAAAGACTGCTTCCTTGAGCTGGCTCCAGACTTCGTTGGGGACATCTTATGGGAGCACCTAGAGATTCTGCAGAAAGGTAAACATGTGGAAACAGGAGGGTGAGGGTTGGCTGTGTGAAATTTCTGTGCATGGGGAGGGGGTTGACCCGGTAGAGATGTAACGTGTTCAGGGCACAGGTGGTCAGTGGGATGTGCCTAGTGCAGGGCCTGATGTCCAGCAGGTGCTTAGTATAGAGCAGCTTCTTTTCCTTCCATGCATTGGAGGTTAAGATTTTAATCTTCAGCACATTTGTACTCCATTAACTTCGTAGTATGCACACTTGTGAGTCTAGTTGTTTTCTTAGACCCGTGTACTGTGTGCTGGCCGTGCCCTTGGCCAATCCTGGAATAGTTTTTAGTCTTTTTTCCTGGCAGCTTTACTACACATTTCTGTGATCTATGGCCATGTAATACCTGGTCACATGCACAGGAAAGCTCAGGCTTTTGAGCTGGATGATAAGACAGGCCTGTCTGCCCCCTGATGGGTGGAACTGCATAGGTGCAGGATGCCTTTCACATCTGGAGCAGAAACTGGGGTCAGATCAGGACAAGGTGTTGCAACCTTGTTATGACATGGCCTCTCCTGTTGGCCTCTTCCAACCTTTTTGGATCCATGACTCATGTCCCACGGTCCTGGCTGAGTACAGAAACAGCAGCAGGCAGCACACTAGGGTGTTTTTGCCCTTATTTTTCTGAATTTCTTCTTAAAATAAATTGCAGTTACCAGCAGTCAGCGGTGCCCTCCAGCTGACTGTAAGCCTAGAAACCCGCTGCCCTCCGTAACCCAGGCCCGCCCTTTCTCTGTGGTCACCAGCTCCAGCTCTTGGTGTGGACACTGGGGGCAGGGTGAATGCTCAGGACCAGCACTTTTAGCCCGTATAATACCTGCCTTTGTGTGGGTAAGAATAGTCTTCACCATGCAGTGCTCAAAGAGACCCAACTTAGATTCCTCGGGGCAAGGGCTGTGATCTTTGTTTCTTCTCTTCAATTTTTCTGTTGAAAAATAGCACAGTCAAGAACTGTGACTCTCTCTGTGACTGCCACGATGGGGAATGGGCAACACTTCCCAGTGCCCTCCACTGCCCTGGCACACTGTGTCACTGCACACATATCCTCCCCAGGATGTCCACACGTGCAGCCTGCTGATAGAGGGAGAAGGAGTGGGAGGCTCCCTGAAGATCTGATTTAGCTGATGGCACCTGGCTGTGTAAACTGAGTATGTTCCACTGTGTGCTGTGACGCTTTCCTGTGTTCATCCCAGTGGAACCACCAGGTGTTGGGGGATGTCTGACTCCGCCTTGATTGTGTGTGTGTGTGTGTGTGTGTGTCTTAAAGTGCTATAAAACAGATCTTCCCTTTGGATTATCAGAATAACCCCATGAGATACGAAGGGCAAGGAATGGGATTGTTCTTATCCATAAAAATCACTCGTTTCTTTAAACTTTTTCTTTAGCATTTTAGGCTTTTTTCATTTACTTTTTTTTCTTTCATCTAGTTCACTTTAATTTCCCATGCTGTCTTCTTTCTGTGATCCTGTGGATTCATGTACAGCTGCTGGCCCCTTAGACAGGTCTGGCTTGCCCTTCCGCACAGGAATAATGGCAAGGTCTCTAAGAGAATTAGGATATCACTGAGTATGCTTGAGAACGAAAAGTGTACCTTTCTGTCCAGAGTTCCATGGAGTGAGACAATAAAATCATTGCTCTTCAGATTTACATACTTGAAGGGATGAGCGATCTGTTTGTACTGAGGCTGCAGCTCTGGTTCTATAATTAAACCAAGGATCATAGCACCCAGAAACAGAGCTGTTTGGGGTGGGGTGGAGGGCCAAAGGTACAGGGGGTGTTTTGATCTGATAAGCTGCTAAAGCAGTTTAATCATTTTATCTCAACTGGGAACTGTTGCTTTTTTTTTTCTTTTGGGTGTATACGTGTGCATACGGGCATAAACTTGTTTTCCCATGAGCCTTTGTTCCAAACAGATTATCAAATACCCGAGGAAAAATCCAAACCAACACACTATCTTTGTGTCTGATTCTGTGAGATATGGCCAGATGGCTCCATAAAAGAGAGACTGCCTCTCCTCCCTGAGATGCCAGGGTGATGAGAAGGTCCCATGTTGACCATGGCTAGGTGGAAGCACTTTTGTCCTTAGATGCCCTTCCTCTCCCTTTCTCTCTCATCCCCGGGGAAGTTGGCGTCTGGGCCGCCTTTCAGTTGTGTTGCTGCCCTCCCTGTTTGCATAAACCTCCCTCGTTTGCCCAGGAGAGTCACGTTACCAGTGCTCCATTTCTTGTCCGGACCTGAACTTGAATTCTAAGTGCAGTGGGAAAAACAGAGAACAAAAACCAAACGTCTGCTAGAAGGACAGGCTGTAAAATCCACTTGCCTTAAGATTGCAGTATGGTTCTGAAAAGGTTTTGAGCAGATCCATTTGAGGGCAAACACTGGTCTTGGTAACAGCTCTCTGTTCATTGTCTAGCTTTTGAGTTTGATTTCAGAGTGATGCGTGCACATAGCACAGGGGTTTAGAATGAGGGCTGAGTGTGTTCCCAATCCTTAGTGACTACTCCTTAGTTCACTTTCTAAGATTACTAAATCCATTTTATAGCTGCTGAAATAACAAACTTAGCCATATTGTTGTGATCTCATTCCTAGACAAGGCCCCAGTCAGGGTAGACGCAGACACCAATGCAGTTAATAAACTTGCACAATTCTTAGGAAAGCATTGAGGTCACTGTGGTCTTTGCATTCAAGATCCTTTTAGGCTAAGTGTTCCTTCCATGTCAACTTCTGTATTTCTCTCCCTACCCTCTATGTTGCAGAGGATGTGAAACCATGTCAGGTTAATGGAGTCAACCCCATGTATCCAGAATCCTGCTATACCTCGGATTATTTCATCAGTAAGTTCCACCCTCAACTTGCCCTCCTTCTCCTTGTTCCTTACAGTGGACAGCAGCAAAAGTCTCCTTCTCACTCAGTCTCAGGCTCCTTCGTGATAGTTCTATGGAAAATTATGCTTTTGAGAATTACAGAGTCTAGGTAATAATTAATACTTTCTCACAAAGTACAAGGGTTCTTTCCTATTTTTATTTTTATTTTTTTGTGATGCTAGAGATTGAACCCATGGACTTGTGTACTGTCGGCAAGTGTTCTACCATTTTGCCACCCTGTACATAGCTGATTAGCCTGAGAGTTTCTACATGGTCCTTCTCAGAAAGTGAAAGTCATGGGGAACGAATACAACTCAACCGCCAAATTCTGAATCTCCCTTGATCTTTTGCATTGTATGGCCCCAGGGTTGGGTTAGTGACTTGATCTTGGTCCCTGCTCTTTCCTTTTTTTTAAACCAGTGGAGAGCACAACATGTCCTCTGAAATCCTTAAGAGCATGTGGTACAGCTTTGTGTGCCATTACAGAGTATGAAACCTGCTCTTCAGAATGAGATACCCCGCCATGGTGGAAAGATGGCCAGAGGAATAGAATTAGTATAGAGTTGTGCTTAGCTGATAACCTTGTTTTCAAAGAGGGCCTTAAACAGGGTTGTTTGCATTTTATTCTAACCTTATTTTTATCCAACAATAACAGTAATACTAACTACTATATTTTGAACTTATTGAATACCACAAATGCTGGGAGGCAGTTTACATATATTTATTCTCATTTGATCTTCATCCCAGCCCTCCGAGGAAGATTGCAGTCATGATTGTTTATAGATATAGAAAATTAAAGCAGAAAAGGAAAAGAAAAGCATTTTATCAATGGCCACAGCTATTAAATAGTAGAGCGAGTTTGCTTATTTAAAGTATTTTCCTTAAATTCTCTAAAGCAGCACACTGATTCCACATTGCGGGGCCGTTACAGCAGTATAGCACTGTTCCAGGCAAACATCTTTCCTGTCTAACTGTGAGCATTTCTACCTCCAGGCTATGGTATCGAGCATGCTCAGTGTGTGCCTCCATCAGAGTTCTCGGAGCCCAGCTTCATCACTGAGTCCTACCAGACCCTCCATCCCATCAGCTCAGAGGAGCTCTTGTCCCTCAAGTACGAGAACGACTACCCCTCAGTCATTTTCCGGGACCCTCTGCAGACAGACACCTTGCAAACCGACTACTTTGCCATCAAACAAGAAGTTGTCACCCCTGACAACATGTGCATGGGGAGGACCAGTCGTGGTAGGTCAGATCTCTTCTCTAAAAGCTCCTGGATTCACAGGAATTACTCACCTTTGTGAATTTTCCAGGGACCATTTTTTCCCTCACTTATAAGCTATCTAAGATGCCTCAGTTTTGGTCTCCCCATCCTAGCATCCCTAGAGAATAAAGACACCTGATAATGGAATTTTAGTTGTATGTATCATGAGGACTGAGACTTCAGGGGCCATGGTGGGATTCAAGTCTGGCAGAATGAATAATCAAATATCTTATTCTGGCTCAATTTGATCATTAAAAAAAATGTGCCGTATTTTCTTAGAAAGGATTTTCTTGAGGAAAACACAATAAAGGAAAGATGGTTTAGTGACTCTCTGGGAAGTTCTTAAGGTTTGCCTGTGTCACGTGCTCTCCCAGAGGACTGAATCAGACTGTAGGGACCTGGCTTGGTACCTGAAGTGACCTTGCTTATTCAGCCTGGAATCATTAACCTCCTGTGACTTCTTTGGTTTGAGAAGATACAAGATGGTTAAGAGTGGTTTATTCAGTCCTGGTCATGAGCGGTGTGGTGAAGTGTGTATTTAGCTAGAGGACCATGGAAAGGTAGGTGGCAGGAGGCTTCCCAGAGAAAGTACTTACTGAAATAGTTATTATAATAGTGACCAGTCATTTGCTGACAGTGAAGTAAACCTTCCAAAATAGAGCAGATTGACATAAACCAAAAAGGCAAAATATACCTAACTTTTACAACCATAATGTAGACTATCAAGGATGTCACCTACCTTAGAGTTTTATTCAAAGTTCAATTTATTGTAAGGTGGGGCTTGTTCATCATGGAAGAGCTAGCTGATTTCTGAAAAGCCCCAAAAGATGACTTTTCTGATGGGTAAATGGAAAGGAATTAGGGACAGGAAGAAGAGAGGAGAAAGCTAAGCCAAACGGCAGAGAAGCCTTTGGTCACAGAGTGAGCCTTGGGCCAGTGTATTAGGGGTTTCCGCCTGTGATACCATGCTGATGTTCTTGGAGCTCTCTTACCCGGAGGATCACCTTGTTTACATTGTGGGTCATACACATTGTCATCTTCTTCGAGTGTTTGGGTTCATACTTCCTGCCAGCAAGCCTTGGACAAAACCAATGTACCCTACACAGGGAAAGTCCCTCCAAAAATCAGAACCTATAATTGTCTTCCTTAGGGTGCCAGGGTGTTTGTGTTTCAGACCAAAGAGGATGGGCGGGGCTATTTTGTCTTCCCCTTTTTGTCTTTTACTTTTGGGTGCACGTCTGTTGAGATGGACTAGCGTATGACCAAAGCATTAGGGCGACCTTCCTTTTCTTGGGCGTTTTGTACGTGAATGTGATGAGACTTAGCTGTGGACTTGAGGTCCAACCATGCTGTAACTTTGGATAGATCCACTGTTACGTTGTTTTAAAATTATGTCTGGCACTGTATTTGTGTATTTAGCTGTTCTCTCTCCTTCTCTTGATTTTTGGTTTGGGCTCCACCACCTCATTAACCCCAAACTAATGATGATAAAGAGAAAGTGACCCTTACACAGGGACATGAGGCATTTCTGTCTGGCTGTACCCTCAGTCTTCCTTTGCAAGGTGTAGGCCCCTGCAGTTTATGAGGAAGTCCATTTTATGCAGCAGGTCTTCTCTCTGCATGTGAGAGCAGTTTCAAAAAAGACTGATTCCAAGGCCAGTTGAACTGAGATGGTCTAGCCTGAAAGCATTACTGTTAGAGGATGATTATTAATAATCATAGTATTGATATACAGCATTATAGTGTACAAAGTGCTTCTGTGTCCTACTTGCTTGGCTTGTGAGGGCTGTCTTTGTGCTGGTCTAATCAGCGGCTTGCTGTGCACTACCCGTCTCCTCCTCTGTGTGCTCTGAGGTTTGTTCTGTGGAGTTAAGAGAGCACTGGAGAGCCCTGTCTGAGGCCTTTCTCAGAAAAGCTGGCCAGTGGACATCTCAGCGGATATGTGTGTTCCTGCATGAGCACAGTAGCAGAACTGAGGGGCTAATCCAGTTGGAGTCAACCCATTTTTGGAGCAGATGCCCATAAATAAAGGTTTCCAGCTCAGGGCTTGTGAAATAGAGCTAAAATGAAAGCTGCCTTCAGCTGTAAACCGCAGTTTTCTACTGAGTTGCATTTGCTTCATGTTTGAAAGGTTGCCAGAGAGTGGTTATGGCCTAGTTTAGTGCCCTTGCTTACCGGGACTCTGTGGAAACTCAACTGCCTTGCTGGTGGAAATTCTGATCACTTCGCCCTCCAAATATAAAAATGGCTGATACAGATCAGCATCATTTCTGGAGACATAAGCATCGCTACTGCCTCCAATACTGGGATTGGGTGGGATGTTCTTCATGAAAATATAAACTTACTTTTGTAGTCTTTTGATGTGTTTGTCTCCTACAGCACCGAATTAAGACAGGTAGCTGGTATGCACAAGCACCTTTTAATAAGATGCCAGAAAACTTCCTGTTCTGCTAAAAAAAAAAAAAAAAAAAACGAAAGAAAGAAAGAAAGCTAAGGCATTTGGGTTGTGAGTTGTTTTCCTGAGTCATTTAATGTGAATTTCCAGGCAGGACCACTCTTTCACTGTTCGTAGTAATGAAGAGGGTTGCACAGGCTGGGGTGCGCCCTCCACGAAGCCCCTCCTTTGAGTCAGTGGGTAGAGGGAGGCGTGAGATGAAGCAGATGACGCTTTTATTGTAAGCAGTGCTAGGGGAGCAGGAGCAGAGGATCTGGGAGATTTTTTTTTTTTTCCCCAAGCTTTGGGAACAACCAAGTTTTGATTTGGATTCCTGCGTATATATGAATTTTATTTTATTTTTTAAAAAATCCACTACCTTTGTGAAGGGGAAAATACACTAACAGGAGGATGTCCAAGCCACACTCACTGTGGGAACAGAAATTACAGATCAGCCAGCTTTGGGCAGTTGAGAAGGGATTCACAGGTGTTTCTGCATACGTGTTTGTCACACCTTTTTGTCTCTCAGCGTGTGCTGAGCTGAGATGCCCCTCTGGTCTCCTGTGATTTGCCTCAGTTGTCTGATGAGTATCTGGATGTAGACCACAGAACACATCCTTTGGAGCCTTTTTAGCTTTTGATTTGTTTTGCTCCATTTTAAAAAAAATTTTTCTAGGCTCCTTTTTAGTAGCATTTTTGCCAATGGAAATTTCTCCAAGAGTTATTGTGCAATCACAGCAGCTGTTTATAACCTGATTTGGGAAATTAATGAACTTGCATGATCTTGTGGTCAGTTAAGAATGCCTTAAGCAACTCACAGAGTAAAGAATTTCTGACTTTGTTATGGACCTTAACTCTTTAATCAACTATTTTATGTTTTTTACTGCCCATACTTCTCCTAAGAAGCATATACTTCAAGTACTGAACTACACTTTGAAAGAATAAAGGATACAATTTTCAGTTGGAGATAGTGATGGTGTTTTTTTTTTTTTTTTTTTTTTTTTAATTTTCAGGAAACAACATCCCATAACTTATTTCTCTATTTGTGATGGCATAAACACAGGACATGTATTTCATTTTAAAATAGTATTTAGGGAAAAAAATGTTTAAAAGTAATACTTTTTGTTCCAAGGTCAAGGAAGGCCATAAGGTCATTGTGCTCAGTCTAATGGAGATTTTTTTCTTATGATCAAAATGTTTTTGCTAAATTGGAGCTTTCAAATTCATCTTCTCACACTGACTTCACAAGAGGTTGTTCAGTCTGATGACTGTTCTGATTTCTTCATGAATTCATTGGACCTAATACATTAGCCAGAAATTCTCCGGTAACACATGAGATTCTCAGCATTAGATTTCTGGCTTTGGCATTCTTGAGGTCCAACACTGCTGTGTCTCTCGGACAAATCGGAGCAGCACGTGGCTCTGGATCCGTGTCCTAGGAACTGTGAACCAGGTAGCCGCACAGTGGCAGCAGAGTGGCCCTTCGGGTGGTGTCCCAGCCCCATCCTCTTTCTCCAGAGTGGACCCTTGGTCTCTGGAACGTCTGTTTCCAAGCCCCCCATTCTGTCCCTCCTGCAGATCTGATCCGCAGTCTCTCCACGAGAGGGTTTTTACAGTTGTCTTTTCCCGATCCCTCCCCCGCGCTCTTCCTACTCCTCCTTCACCTCCAGGTAAACTCGGAGGCCAGGACTCTTTTGAGAGCATAGAGAGCTACGATAGTTGCGATTGCCTCACCCAGTCCTGGAGCAGCCAGTCATCCTTCAACAGCCTGCAGCGTGTCCCCTCCTATGACAGCTTCGACTCTGAGGACTACCCAGCTGCCCTGCCCAACCACAAGCCCAAGGGCACCTTCAAGGACTATGTGCGTGACCGTGCTGACCTCAACAAGGACAAGCCTGTCATTCCTGCTGCTGCCCTGGCTGGCTACACAGGTAGGCACGCTTCCTGTGCAGGCAGGCCATCTGCACCTTTCTGTGGGTGGGGTCAGCAGAAGGCACTGTGCCACTTACCTGGAGGCCCAAGGACCCCCTCTCGGTTTTATAAAGGGATTGGCGAGACCTCTCTGAGAGGTGTCCAGCCTCTCAGGCCAATCTGCTTGTGACTAGATGTTGATTTTTGGAAATGGATGGTATCATTCTATCCCATGGGGTCATTTCCAAGAGTGGTAGGAAACTTACATTTTGAGCTTTTTTCCATATCTGGGGGAAGGCAGCTATAATGATTTGATGTTCCTGGAAACTGTCTAGTGGCATGGCATCAGGGACTTTTCCAGGCCTGCTCTTGGGAGGTCTTTCCAAGCATAAAACCAGCGACTGCTTCTTTCAGAGGCATAATTGAATGAACGGACTACATGATAGACTGTTTTGTCATGCAGTTGGCATTTGGCTGGCAGTAGGAATGTAAGAAACATGTCCTTCATGGCCCTAAATTCTATCCAGATCCATCCCGGCTTATATAGGAAATTATTTTTCTCACTTAGCTTTTTTTATTTTTTATTTTAAAGAGAAAAAATCCCTAACAAACTAAAACAGAATAAAGCAACCAAAACAAAACAGTGAAAGTGGAACAGAACTTCAAAACAGGGTAATAGGAAATCAACAATGGCTCCCATATTATATCTCGGTATCTTGACAGGAGTTGTCCATACCACGCTAGTTGTCCATAGTAAAATTAAATAAAACAAAACAGAGTAAAATCAATCAAAACAGAACATTAAATAAAACAAAACAGTAAGTCAGAATAAAACAAAGCGTAATTGTTCTACCAGGAGTAGGATCTCTAATTAAAGCAGTAGTGAGTGAAGAAATTCTGTAGAGAAGTGAGTTATGCACATCGAGAACCTGGGCTTTGGTTGAATATCTGGTCACAGTGTAAGATGTGCTACTGTGGTGAATGGGTTGTAGCACAAGCCCAGGGAAAGCGTGAGGAAGGTATCTGAGAAATGTCCGAGGACCATCAAATGACGTGTTAACCATCAGGTCCTTTCTGTAAGGTTGCAGTGTTTTCTAAAACTTAGAAACTATGTTGTGAGTGGAGCTTAGTTTAGGCTTTAACTACTTGCGTGTGGTCTGTGCCTCTATTCTTTCACAGTCTCCACCCCAGGCAGGTTATCTTATAGACATCTTCTGTGTGATTGAAGACAAACAGCAAAATCTGCCTATCTATCTGACCTTAACAGTGCGCTAGTTACTTATTGTGTTCAAGAAAGCCTTAGGATTTTTTCTGAGGAAATCCAATGGGCCTTTGAGAATAAAACTCCGATACTGAGAAAAATTACTCCTCCTTCAAAGATCAAGAGAGTGAATGTCTTTATGTTGTGTTCTCTAGAAGCCCTAGTGAATTCACTGCTTGAACAGTGCTTAGGAAGTATGTCTATATTTTGAGGTAGCACCAAGGGCTATGTTTAGAATCATGGGTCAGAAAAGGAACTTGACGGTCCCCTATTTTATTTTATTTTATTTTATTTTATTTTTTATTTTTCCCTATTTTATTACTTTAAAAATATCCCCATGGTCTCACCTACCATGGCTTGTAGGTGAGAACTTGCATCTCAGAGGAGTCTTCTCCTCTGGGTAGCAGATTATTAGGAAGTTTACCCACCTTCTTTAAAGACATCTGGGATGAGGAAAGCATATTCAGGGTCTCATTTTGGGCATGCATGCCAACTCCTGTAGTCGGCTCTAGGCTCCAGTTGGATTGATGAGAGAGGGATGGGGAAAGTGCTGTTTAATTGGGAAGAAGAAGAAGCCTAGGCAGCTTTGAAGTGACTGACATCAGTTTTGTTTGGATATTGGTTCACAGTTACTTTCCCGCCCACCGACCCTTCCTTCCTTCCTTCCTTCCTTCCTTCCTTCCTTCCTTCCTTCCTTCCTTCCTTCCTCCCTTCCTTCCTTCCTTCCTTCCTTTCTTCCTTCCTTTCCTTCTTCCTTCCTTTGTATCCTCTCTTTTTCCCTCTTTCCCTCTTCTCCCTCCCTCTACCCTCACTTTCAAAGTTCTGTGTTTCCCCACCACCTGGGATCAAGGAGTAGACCACTCTGTGAATGGAGGAGCTTTACAGTTTAGATGCCTCAAAGATTGAGTAATCAGTTCAATCAAAAACATTTTTAAACACCTCACCCTCCAGTTGTTTTTAGTAATTGAAGTTTAACCTTTCAGACTGTAAAATGGGGGTGAGAACAATGGCCCAGAAAACAGAAGTCCTCTTGTGCTCCTCCCAACTGTAACACACTGCGTGATTCTAGGCAAATTTACCGTGTACCCTGTTCTACTTTTAGTGAAGTAGATCTTCACGGTAGAGATGTGTGAAGATGCAATGAAACCAAATCAGTTAACTAAACATGTGAGTGCTAGACATGGGAGTGGATGTGGTGGGGGGGACCCCCTAACTGCAATAAATGAATTATTTCAGCAAAGGGCACACACTGAGCCTGCAGGTAAGACAGGAAACCTTGAGAGCTCACTGTGGATGGCATTCAGGATGCTCTAAGTGGCCATAGACCTGAACTGCACTCTCTTACTGTTGAGCAGGAGCGCAGGTTGAGATCTGTGAGGTGTGGGGGAGCAGCCCTAATTCTGGTGGTCCTTTTCTTAGCTTCTAGTGAACATGCCGTGTCCACACTGCAGGCTGATCTATGCTGGCTCTCTGCTTTTGCACTGTCATTGTGGCACCTCTTGATTTAGACATCTAGGAGACAAAGAGGGATGGAATATACTCATTTGGCCTTGTGCTTCCTTCCATTCAGCCCATGGCAAGGGTGCCCATATATGGGTGGCTAGAAAAAGGCCCTGGGAAGGTGTAAATTCACAAGTATTAGCAACATCTTTTTCTTGCTCCTGAGTGACACCTGTTTTCTGTCTCAATTCTGCCCTTGTTCTGTTAAAATCGGATTGTTCCAGAGTATGTGTGGAGACATAGTGGCAAGCCTGGGACCCTTACTTCCATCAAGGCAGTTTGGCCGGAAGTAAAAGGTAGCTGTTTAGAGTCTCTGAGCTGGGAAAATAAAAATTCATCTTTGTACTATTACCCTAGAAATCCAGATTTTTGTACATATCACCTTCAAAAGAATAAATTTTATTTCTTCCTATGATATCTTAGTTATGGCACTGTAAGTGTGGAAATCAGTTAGAAACTGAATTTTCAGATTCTCTTGCAGTTACATTCTTCCCCCAAAGATAAGAAAATTGCATCAACCTTCACTGGGCTCCTATGGCAACTTGTTAAATTAGGTCGAGATGTGTGGGCAGATAACATGGCTTGAAAGCCTGCTTGTTAGCTGAGTTAAGAGTACATCAAATACAGCGCTGGCTTCCGCCAAAATGTACCTCCTCCTCCTCCTCGATGCAGACTGCTTACGGTTATCAAGCTGATACAATCAGAATAGCTCCATTTTCTCTTGTTCGAAGATACTTTTTGAACTCCTTCTGATGGCAGCATGATCTGAGAGAAGCAGCCCAGTGTTTTCCCTATATTTATGAACCTCAGCAAAATACTTAGTCCTCAGAAAGTATAGGCATCTCTGATTCTTTTTTGCTTTGCAATTTCAGTAGGTATAGGAGAATATACTGTTTCAGTAGCATTTGCTCTTCTTGCCCCACCAGCCCCATTTTATAGATAGTGCAGCTGAGGTGCACACACATACACACACACACACACACACAGATTTATTCAAAGCCATGTAATTACAATCTGCAAGAAATTAGCTCCTGAATTGAATTTTAAGTGTCCATTGCTTTTCATGACCACAAAGTCTCTTCTCCAAACTAGGGAATGAACATACTCCTTGCATATTGCCCTTATGTGCAGAGGTTTTAGGGCCGTGTATCCGTCTGGTCACTAATCAGCACCATACATGTATGGGCTAGGGTGTGGGGAGGAGATAGAATCCAGAAATTAGCCTGTGAATCACTTTTGTCAGACTTCACTCTGGATCACCACACACAGCAACAGAAACAGGTCCCTTCTTATGGCCACTGCAGTTGTCACTGAGTATGCCTGCTGGTGACATGCCAGTGTCTGTGCCCTCTAACAGATACCAGCCGCAGTTATGAATGAAGCATTTGTCTTTTTTTTAAACCTGGAACCCACAAAAGATTGAGCCCAAAGCTGCTCACTATCTGTGGTGAAATTATGTTTTATAGTGTTGTGTAAATTTATAAATAGCCCTAACCTTCCTTAAGGCTACATTTGAGACTATCTGGAATTTAACTTGCAAGTGGTGTTTTTTAGGGGAAGGCATATTAGACATCACATAGAAAGGTCTCCATCTGGTAGAAATAGAAACCCTATGCATTGCACTGTAGGTTCTTTCAAGTTGTGTCTGTCCTGGGATAAATTCTTTTCTTGCCATATCGTAAATGCCACTGGAGCCACTTTAGAGTCACAGGAAAAGGTCCTGAGGCTCCACCCAGAACCTTGGAGTTTAGGATTCAGCAATCCAGAGCTACTGCTAAAACATGTTTTTGAAAATAAACAACTTGACTGCAGAAGGCAGTGTTTCAGAGCCCTTTAATTCAGAATGCAGCGTGAGAGTGGGCAGCATTACCTGCAATCACTGTTTCTGAGGGAGAGCCAGGCTGCAAAACAGTCTCTGTGTGCTGGGGTTCAAGTGACGACTGAGAGAACTTCTGGTAGGAGCCTAGTTAGTGATTAAGAGGGGTAGGGCTCTAGGAAACAAGTTACTAGTGTAGTGTGAATTCGTGCAAGGGTTAAAGGATCTAAACACAGGTGGATCTGTTACTGAGGGGCAGTTTTCAGTGGGGCGGGAGGTGTCACTTGAGCCAGGCTCTGGAATGTGAAGTCCCTCTATGTGAGTGCTATTGGTATAAGACTGTGATTTGAGTAAAGCTGAGAAAGACCAACTTGTTGATAGCCTTATGCAGTGGCCTCATTCAGAGGCCCAGGGAAAGCAGCTGACTTCTCTCTCTGGGGTGG